GAACTCACTCCCTCATCAGCTACCTGTTCCTCGTCTTGTTCATCAGTATCACCTGTCTTCACATCGTTATGTTTGATTCCTCCCTGTATTTAGTTCCCTCTGTTTCATTTAGTTATTGTCGGTCAATGTTTCATGTTACTCTACCCCGTCTTCCTGCCTGTATTTGGTATTAAATATATTGTCTTCATGGGAATCCTGACTCCTCGTCCTCTTCTGCCTGCACACATAGCGTGACACACGTATTAGAACGCGATTGGATAGATGAGAAGGTAATAATGACATGAAAATTAAGTCTTCCTGGCAGAACTTACGCTACGCTTTCATTTCTCAAACTGAAATGAAGCTAAAATAAAATAAAATTATAAATATTAAATAAAAAAACGTAAACTAAAAAAAACAGAGAAATTTTGCCTTAGCCAATAAATGAAATAAATAAGTATAAATTGAAGCACACTGTGACAATGTTCGGCTGGATTGCCCTCGAGTGTCACTAGAGGGCACTCCAGTCCTGCACTGCCTTCCCTGGGACTGATCACGTACACACCCTGGACTGATTCACTCTCTTACCTGCATCTAATTCCACACGCAGCTCCACACACATTAATAGCCTACTCACACTAACACCCATTTGCAAAGTCTTGTTGTGCAGTGTACATCTCCGTGCATTTCCTAGTTTTCCGAGTCAGTTATCCTTGTCTAGTCTGTGTATTCGACCCTTGATGAACCTGTTCCTCGATTGTCTGCTGCCTGCCTTTTTACCCATTGCCTATTTCCTGGATTCCATCTCGCCTCCCAGTCAACTAATGCAGACCGTAGCGCAGTACACCGGGATCAGCTGGACCAATTCACATCGTCGTTGAAGAGGTTGGCCAAGATGGTTCATGGTCTTCATGTTTCCTCACCGGGACCATCGCAGACTCAACCCGTCTCCACAGTTGTCAGCCCTGAGCCGATCCCAGTTCCACACCAAGCTCTCCCCAATGCAACTACATCAAAAGGATCGATCGATTGAGTGCTGTCGAGGAGTTTGTTGAACTGGCACTTTTCACAATAATGAGCACAAATGTTTAATGATCTTTTTCCACGGAGGGTTATCTGAACCGCTCCGTTCACTGGAATCGTGTAAAGCCTTTGAACAGTTTGCAGTTTGCACTGAAACTGTCTTTTGGACCTTGAACAGTTTGGTTCCCATTGAAGTCCACTACTATATGGAGAAAAATCCTGGAATGTTTTCATCCAAAAACCTTAATTTCTTTTCGACTGAAGAAAGAATGACATGGATATCTTGGATGACATGGGGGTGAGTAAATTATCAGCAAAAGCCTTGACGAGCCAGAGCTTCACAGCAGCCATGACAAACTGATGTTTCACGTCTGCCCAGCCGAGCCAGCGCTACACGTCAGCCCACGACGAGCCTGTGCTTCACTTCAGCCCCAACGAGTCTGCGCACCATGTGAGCCCAGACGAGCCTGTGCTTTATTTATTTATTTAAAAGGGACAATGCATATTGATAATCATTTCAGTAATGTAAATATGCCAGAATTAGCCCCAGGGATACTTTCCATCTGCAGTCCCCTGTCTGGTCATCATAAAACAACACATAACAAAACTAACATTTAAGTTTAAATAGGATACTACACAGTTTAAAGAACACCTTAAAATTCAGTAACAATTACAAAAGACACCACTGTTTTCAGGCAAATTACACATACAGTAAAGTGCTATTCTATGTACTTCAAATGCATTGCAATTATGCTAAAATACTGGAATTACAATAAATGCTGGAATTACAACAAATACTTAAATAAATAAATAAATTTAAAAGAACTGTAGTCACCCATGTGTACCGTGGGAAATGTAATTTTTCTGGCACAGGCACTTACAACAGGGAAGCATATTTTGTGTTCTAGCATCCTCTGCATTCACTCATGGTCAAATGAGCCTACTCCTCATGCCAGTCCTGTCGAGCCAGCACTTCTGGTCCTGTCCCCTGCACAAGAGACTATTCGTCGCTCGCCTTGTCTGTCAACTGTTTACATACTTACATGTTTACACATTTGTAGTAAAGTCAGTAATTAATAGTTAGTCAATCAGTCAATCAGTTGTTAAAGGAAACAACAAACACTTTTGTTTATTATTGGTTTTCTATCGGACTTCCCTACAATTAGGTATTGTTATAAGTCTATATAGACTACTTATAGAAGTCTACGATGTGTTATTTGTATGCTAGGTCAAAGAGATATGTTTTTTTGTCTAGAACGTAACGTTATAGGGAGAATATACACCGGACACGGCTGTTGCTCACGTCACAACAGCTTACCCTGGACCTGGCGAAGCGACCGTTACAATGCATTTCTTCTTCGTATCAGTACGTCATAAATATAATGAGGCATCAGTTTACTGTCGGAGATTTGTCGCTCGTGTTGCATCCATTGTAGACAACATCACTGATTATAATGGGTTCAACTGTCTTTTGTCGCATCACACCATTTGCGTCTGGTGTCTTGTTCAGGCAGCAGCTGACAAGCAGTCAAGCAGTGTCTTATGGTAAGTTGCTAACTATTTACCAGTGCTTGCTGGCATGAGTCTGTTGAATGGTCGATTTGACACTACGTTGTCACCTGGTGAGACGAAAAGTTTATATAACATAAACACCAGCAGAGGCTACAGAGTGGACTCTGTAGAGTGAAAGACACGGGCTAGTCCTCAGAGGAGCTGATCGTGGAAGACATATGGGGTCACCACAGGGACTACTACATATCTACACCCAGCCTAGCACAGGTTCCACAATGCATATGTGTGTAGACCTGGCGTCAGACACTCCGCAACATCTGACTGCCGCAGGGGTGATGGAGGAACTCGACAGGGTTACCCCTTTCTGAGGAACACTACTGGAGCAAATAGACGCATGTATCCGGCCCAGCAGGTGGGAGTGGCATTGCAAGCCGACACTACGGGTCCTTCGCACTACTGGCCACTGGGGGCGACTACATGGGAAGATACCGGCTCTACATTAAGGCCATAGAATCTAGCGAACGTGTTGGGTGTCATCCAGCTAGCAGCTCTACATTTATCTGTCAGCGAGGCACCTTGAGCCAGCGCCCAGGAGGAAGCAACACTTCTAGTTGAGTGTGCTCGCAACCTGAATGGGCAAGGCATGTCTTGGGACTGGTATGTCAAGACAATAGCATCCACTATCTAGTGGGCTAACCTCTGCTTGGAGACAGCCTTTCCCTTCTGCTGGCCTCTGTAACAGACAAAGATCTGGTCTGAAGTCCTAAAGCTTTGTGTTCTGTCCACGTATAAATGCAAGGAGTTGCCAGGACAGAGAAAATGGTGGTGAGGGGGATTCAGTCTTTTTATAATTAAACATATTTGGACTTAAAATAAAGCCCAAACATACATGTAAAGACACACATAACCCTAAAATAGGGCGCGTACATAAGCCATTAATCCATATACATTTAAACAACATAAAATACAGTTAATTACTGTATATAACCTTCTGAAAAATCCCAATACAGCAAACATGAAAACATTTCTTTAAATATTAATTCAGTTAAACAAAGCAGTCAACATTTATTAGAATGGAATGCCAACATTACCGTTGGAAGTAGGAACACAACTAGCATGCCTAGGGTGCTTCACATTTCTAATTTGTGCATTTCCTTGCGTCTCAGCCAAGGGGGTAATCCATCGACTGGAAGTTGAATCCTCGCGGGAGCTGCCATCTTGTAGCAGAACTTCACTTCCATTAGCATTTCCATTGACTCCCATTCATTTTGGCATCACTTTGACAGTGAATAACTTTACATCTGAGGCGTTTGAAGACCCCATTTGTCCTTTATTTATTTCTAAAGAAACACAACAATGTATAAAATGCTCCATTACCTTGTAGCTTATGTTATGGCCTCGTAGAAGCAGTTTTTTGTAAAAAAAAATAAAAAAAATAATAGTAATACTCCTAAGCGGTGAGCAACCGGTAACAAGAAGTAGTCGAAGAAGAACATCGTCATCTCAGTTCTCGCGCATGCGCCCATAAGGAAGTAATAGAATAGTCGAATAAAGTCGTTATTTATGTTTTTTTCGCACAAAAAGTAGTCTTGTCGCTTGATAAACTTATAATTGAGCCACTGTAGGCACATGGAATATTTAAACATTTTCTTTAATGACTTTATGGGCCGTCAAGAGCCAGTCCCTTAGGCAGTCTATGTAGTAGTGATCCAGCTCTCAGATTTAATCAAAAATATCTTTATTTGTGTTCCGAAGATGAATGAAGGTCTTACGGGGTTGGTACAGCATGGGGGTGAGTAATTAATGACTTAATTTTCATTTTTGGGTGAACTAACCCTTTAACCCATAAATATTAATTAATGCATTAATTATGAAACATGTACTAACATGTAGTTAAGGCTGTTATTCATGTATAAATCCTTATGACTCCTGTCATAGTTAAGGACCAAGAACAAGTGAAAAAGTGCTGCGTTACCTCACAATTTTAATCTGTTACATAAACGTTTGAGTATTAATTCAGCACTTGCGGGTAGTTCAGTAGAACCACGGGACATGCTGATATCTATCTCTCATTAGCAATCACGACCTGCTTTATACCACAGTCATGTTAAAAAATATGAATGTATTCACTCATCCAGAAACATTATTTCCCATAAACATGATTAGATCCATCGGCATGACGATAAATTCCATGATCCCGCTTATTCACTGCATCAACCTACGTCTTTGTTATTGTAAGAGGTTAGCGACCCCTAGTGGCGATAGAAATTATATATTGTAGCTTTAACTCAGGTATTAGTACATATTGTTCATGTGCTGTTATTGTAAAGTGTTACCAATATTTTTAATGCTTTAACTTTGACAGCACTAGTTAAGATACATCTCGATGTAGAAATTTTGTGAGATGTAAGATCACCAGAAATAAAGAAATCCCACAGACCTAATATCGTATTTGATCTTTCTTTACAAATGTATTTCTTTTTCAGGTCCTTTGTTGGTGCAGCTTTTGCGATCAGATTTTAAACAAAAATACGCTTCTGTATTTGCCGACGACACTGTGGCTGATTACATATACCATGTGAATGCACAAACGGCCAGGTAAACTGTGAACCCGGGCAGAATACAAACTATTTTTGACCTAACAGGCAGAGGTAAAATAAAAAAAATATTTACAAATGTGTCTTGTGATTGGGCAGTGGAGAGACAGCATTTAAAAACATGACAATCCCATATGGATGGCCTCAGCACCCCATGATGGACCGCGTGGAGATGATCAGTCCCTCTCTTTCCATCACTTTCATCTACGGATCACGTTCTAGGATTGATGGCCAATCAGGAAAAGCCATTCAAGAAATGAGACCTGACTCGCACACAAATATCATAGTGAGTTTTTTCCATTGACCCATGATTCCATTTTCCCTCAAACTCTCAATGGTAACAGTTTTCTTTTTTAATTCCTCTAAGGTCATCCAGGGTGCAGGTCACTACGTATTTGCAGACCAATCAGAAGACTTCAACCAGGCTGTGCTAAAGATATGCAATAATGAATGCATAAAGGAGAGAAAACATGAGTCAGGTCAGGTGTGAATTAAAGGAGGATCAGATGAAGGTGACAAGGCAGATGCTTTAAAAGTACTACATAAGAGGAAAAGGGGCCAGAAAATATGAAGGAAAGGAAGGAGAAAAAATTGCATGATCATTTATGGCTTTCTACAATTGTGCATTTAAAAATTAATATGTATACATTAATAATTTTCTGCTTATGAACTTTATTTTAGTGCATCTGCTATGACAGCAACAAAAAAGTGTGTTTTTTATTTTATTTGGGAAATAAAATAAAATAAATAATAAAATAAATAATAAATAAAATAAATTTTATTTTATTTTATTTTTAATTATTTTTATCTCAAGTACTTCTAATTAAAGAGGTGGTTTACTGTTTTTTTTTTCTTTGCATGGTTGTGTTTAGGGGTGCATAACATGTATTTGTGGTTTTTCTTTTTTAAAAAGTCTTATTTTTCATAAATTTCACCTTTATTGTTTCACCGGTTGACTTCCTGATTCTATGAAACCACACCCTCAGAAACAGGCAGTGGGTTGTGATTGGCTAAACTGTGGTACACATTGTCTGGATACTTAACGCCCGTGGCGAGGGGGGCATGGTTCAGCGAAGTCTGTAGTGGGAGAGCGGGGACTGAGCCGAGCGGTGAATAAGTGGGTCAAGTTCAAATGACAAACACCTATCTGTGTTTTCAGTGACTGGCGTGAGTAGAGCGCATATAAGCGGGCCGTGTGGACAACAGTTTGAGATAGAGAGAGGCAGCGCGTGCACGTATTCTATGGAGTCCTGTTACTGAACGCGTGACATTTAAAAGCTGTATTCAGCGGGATTTTTCACTGCAATGGTGTTTGGCAAAGCTGTGTTCAGTGGGAAGAGTATTATCACCTATTATTTATTTTTGCATCCATTTCGAGGAAGCCAGCAGCAAAAAAAATAAATAAAAAATTCTTGTGAAAACGGAAATGAGGATGTCTTGGTGGCTATTCGTGAGCTTGCTTAACAACTCGACAAAACTTTATAGAAGATTTTGTTGAATGAAACTACCAAACAAGTCAAAAGACAACGAAGGTGCAACAGGTTATTTTGGATGTTGGAGTGCATAAAGAGGTTCTCAATCATCTGGAATCTGAGGTCCACGCTCTGAGAAAGGAAAACAAATTGCTGAAAGCAAGTGTACAGGAGTGCAGATGTTACAGTTGATGATGGTTTCTTAAGTTGCCTGCCATTGCAGAAAAAGATAACAAGGATGTCCGATGTGTGATCCTCAATGTCTTAGGGAAGATTGCTCCTGGAGTCGGAGACAGGAAGACGGCAAGGGAGGAGGAAAAGAAGGCAACCTTTCGCATCTCGTTTGCTTTGATTAATAGGGAATGTGGAGGTACGTCACGCCCTGTTCCATTATGGGACGTGGTCGTCATCTTTACAGGCACGATCTCTGTTTACCTTTGGTATAATAGTGGGTGTTTGGCTGAAACGAGGTAAAATTGAAGAAGAACGGAAGAAATGGAGATGGAAATGTTTCAAGAAAAAGAGAAGGGACCCTACCAGGATAAACTAAGTGCCACAGCCAAAAAACTTTATTTGGACAAACTATCCGTGATAATCTGATTTAGTTTTGGTGTTCGAAGCCTATGCTAAGTTGATTACTATTGTAAATAAAGTTCAAGCTATTTTACCTGAAAAGCAGCTCTCATAGTTAATGTTAACTTGCTATTTTCAGCATATGTTAAGTTTTCATAGGTTGTGCAAGAAAAAAATTGTACATTAGGCTACTTTGCCACAAGATGTGGTAACTTGTTAAATACAACTGTGCCTTATTGTCATCATTTAATGTTGACACGTGTAAAAATGAGGGTATTTCGTAGTTTATTTTAAAATATTTTGATGTATCTTTGCCCATTTATGTATACTTAAAGGGTCTTTGCAGATGCAATCAGTACAGAAACAGAGAAGTCACTTAATGTATTTATTAAGCAGATATATAAAAACATGATTCACAAACATTTAAAAAAAGGCATGTAAAAAATATCAAAGCAAATTGTTAATTGAAAACAAAATAAATATAATTTGATTCATGCAATGTGTCCTGGCTTTATCATCTGCTAACATGAACCACAAATTCAACATCATTCATCAACTATCCTCCTAACTGTTAGTCATCAATGAATATACAATATACAACCTCTTGCTTTGTACAACTTTTAACAAACTTAGTATGCAGTGGAGGACACTAAGTAAAGTTTTTCCTTGTGATTGCGGCACCCCACACGATCCGGCGTCTTCTCGTCAGTTCCTCGACCTGCTTCCCTTGTTGTTGTTTTTTCCAAGAAAGAAAGGCGAAAAAACATATTCCGTTGTTCAGTTTCTCCCTTAACGATTGTGTGACCTGCTATGGCAGTTGAACTGAACAACCATATCGACGTTTATTAAAATCTCGATAGAAAATCCAAACACAGCCTCCAACACATGCATTTAAATACAGCGGTATTGGGCGCGATCCTGTAAATATGGCGGCGGACCCATAATGCAACACGACGTGACGTCATCTCCACATTCCCTATGGGAAACAATCTTCTATTCTGATGTCATGTAAGCTAAGCTGCTTGCTTGTAGCTTATGCTGCGTTCAAGTCATCTCGTATAGATCATAATTACGAGTTGAACACACTTGAAAGCCACAACAATGTCGTAAATACCAGTGGGAAGCTCGGGATTTTCTTTAAGCCCCGATCTGTATGAGTTTGGGGTGTGTCAGTGAGAAACATGGTGGAATCAATGGATGCAACGTCTGTTGACGGTAAATTTTAATTGAATTTCAATGTTTACTCATTGACATTGTAAGGCTTTTTCATTGATAAAGCAAGCTCTCTAGATTAGCTAAAATGGGTTTCACATCAGAAGTTTGTACACATTGCAATCAAAATTCTACAGATACATACATCCATGCAACCTGGCACTGCACACCAATCAAACACTTTTGGGAAGAGGTCACACAGTCACTATCCACTATTGTCGGCTGCCACATCCCACTGTCGCCTTCTCTTTGCTTGCTCTCACAATAATCACTGATAAAACTATAAACTCTAAAATACTCCTCATAGCTCTAACCATCGCCAAGAAAACAATCCCCATGAACTGGAAAACTCGAAATAAATTACACATTAACATTAGGAAAAATCTTACTACAGACTTCATTGCAATGGAATATGCATCTCCCCTTCATAATTACGCATCTGAAACTGACCTCTGCCGTCCAACACTTTCTGACGTCTTACAGCTATGAATCCTTTCTCTGTTTTCAACTCCGACTTCTCTCACCTTCTTAACCCTTATGCTGCATTAGGGACATTTTTGGTCTTTTGCAGTTTAATTTCTTTGACCATTTTGGCTGTTTTAATGCAAATGGTATGAAATTTGGCAAAATTGTGACTTTTTGGATACATGTAAAAAATGTGATCCCATTTTGCAAAATATGTATAACACACACTGTGTAGATCAAATAGTAACACTGAGCACCATAAAGACCAAAAATGGCCCATTGAAACCCATTAAAACGTTGTTTAAATCTGAGGCTGTCAGTAATACATGAAACATGATTTTTGCACAAACATCCTTTCATTTTGAAGCAAAAGCATTATATTTGCATTATATAGTGTATTCCACCAGATGACGTCACTACATATTTATTCCCTATGGGTGGAAATGCACCTTATTTTAGGCAATAGGCAATGTTTAATAGGTGGCCATTTTTGGTCTCTAACGCGCGAAGTGGGATTTTTTGCAAAGTGGGACTGTGATAATCCAAATCTAAAGTTTTCTCTTTGCATTTAGTTTATTGAAAATAATTGAATTTTTGTGTTTTTTCCTCTTATACAAATCGATGGTTTCGCAAACAAAACTGGTAATTAAAGGGTTAAAATCCTGAAATTGAATACATTTTTGGTAGTTATGATGAGGACTGATGCTGGTTAAAAGATTTAACTTGGTAAAAGTGGAAAATAATAATAATATATAATATTTTAGGCAATGTTTAATATGTGGCCATTTTTGGTCCTTAATGCACTCAACAACAGTGTTAAAAATCTAATGCAGCACAAGGGTTAATCAACCCACGAATATTAGTGCATTTTAGTTGTTTGAAGTTGTTTCTGTCATCATTGTTATTACTATCTTTACTGTTATTGTTATGATTACTATTTTCACTTTTATTTTTTCATTGTTGTAATTCCTATTGTTGCTGTCTTTTGCTTTCACCATTGCGATCACCACTGCCATCATCATTATCATTTATTATTATTATTATTATTATCATCATCAATATTGCCATTGTCAATGCTGTATTGGAATTAAGTTTCATTGTCATCACTACTGCAATAATTTCCCCCTTATCTCTTCATGGGTTTTTAATGCACCACAACATAGAATAGGGAAGAAAAAAGAAAAGGGGAATATATGGAAAACCTCACAAACACCAAGGCAGGCAAGAGAAGTGGTTTCAACAGGACAGCATCTCTGTCCCAATTTGAGACACTCTCGCACTGTACTCCCTTTTTAATGCACCTTAGACATTGCACATAACACACACAAAAAAAATATATATATATATAGACCATTTTGCAAGATGTAAACAACACTGGTCCAGAAGCACTTCCTGTTTCAGTTTTTCAACACTACACAAAAGCTGGAATAAAATACAACCAACTGAACATGTAAAACTGAAACAAAAAGTTAAACAACATCTTTAAGATGTTTTTTTACATGTGAAATAAAAAAAAAAACAGTTACAAACTGAAACAGGAAGTGTTTCTGGACCAGTGTTGTTTACATCTAGCAAAATGGTCTATATGAAAAGACAGGGACTGATGAGATGTGGGGGAAGGTTATCTTATATCATCTTATTATATCATCTTTTATTTTATACAGGATTGACAATGGCAATTGAAGAGTTCAGATGCAAAAGCCTCTAAATGCCATTTGAAATTTTCTTCTTTAATGATGATTTTTTTCAAACTTGTATATCTAAGTTCAGTAATTTCACTTAAATAACAATTAATAGGTAATTATGATTGCCATTTAAGTGAAATCACTGAACTTAAATATACAAGCTTGACAAAAATCATCATTAAAGAAGAAAATTTCAAATGGCATTTAGAGGC